TTTGCTGCAAGAAAAGAGGAATAAGTCAAAATGTCAATTATTCGGACAAAATAATTACTTTTTTTTTTTAAAGTAAATTTTCGCATAATTATTTTGCTACAATGTGCTTGCAACAATTGATATCGGTACAGTGATTCTTATGATGAACACGAAGATTTGGAGAGCTCTACTCTCAGTAGATATTGGTGCTATGGATATATTTATATTTTCTTTTTCTTTCCTTTCTATTTCCTCTTTTATCGCTAAACTAGTTATTTACACATTATCCAGAAAATATCGCTTCACGTCCATTGCATAAATATTTTGATGGTAAAAAATGGATGGTTTTGATCCGTTAAGGACCATGATGCAACAATCTTAAAAGTTTGACATTAGTCGGATACAAGACAAGAAGGTTGAATAACAAAGATTCTGCAAAACCACATAAATTTGACATGTAACAACAAGAATGAGATAAGAATTCATATGTCGTAAATTTCCTAAAAATAATTTTTTTCGTTTGAATATTTGGCTTCTTGATTTAATCTGAACACACTTGTATTTAAGGGTGAGATCTACAAAATGAATTTAAGCAGTGAGATCTACAAAATTTAAGTAGATGACTTGGAAAGTGCTAGTTTCAGTTAAAGTCTGATTCCATTATATCTTACATTGAAATACGAGGAATCATGTCAATTAAGAGGATGGATGATTTGTAAAGACTCGTTGAAAATTGAAAGGAAGGGGTAAGGCAATCTTTTACAATAATCATGAGTCAAGACTTCACTATTTGAGTACCATATTCTTACAAGTCAATACAAAATAAATCCGTGATTGTCATGAATTTCTATTTTAATCAAGTTCGTACGAACATATAGTCAAATGACATTGTGACAATAATGTTCCTCATGCATGACCTATCGCCCTAGTTTTGGTTTGTCTAGAGAATTAAAGCAAAAAAGCAAGACAATTTATTTATTTTTTTTTTTTTTTAAACTTTAACTAAAGTTATGGGATCCATGTCACAAAGTATGGGAAATTACGCTCGACTCTTGAGCATGTTATCACATTAGTAAAGCAGAACGAGTTTGTTTCATTAAGAAATATCTGCATCCATTTCTTGATTTATCTCACATTCTCACACCCGTGCATGAGTGGCTAATCAATATTAAGCCCCTATTTGGTTCAACTAAAATAATTAATTAAAATTTAGATTAAAGTCAACAATTAATTTTAACAACATATTTCATAAAATTCATAGCTTTTCAACCACACGTTTCTTCAAATTTTATCAAAATTTACTAAAAATTTGATTTTTATCTAAATCAATTAAACTAAATTATATTGAAATTACAATATAAAAAATGCTACCTTACTTTTATTTATAATATTATGTATTAACAAATACATATCACCGACACAATAATAGTGTTTCGGGCTAGGATCAACGACAAAAAAATATATTAATTATTACAAAAATAAATTCACTTCGTTAATAAAAAAATTAACACCAAAGTTTAACATTAAAATATGGAAAAGTTTACATGTACATAATTATTGCACATAATGTGATGTGTCAATCATCCGATTGTTGATGTGAAAGTGTGAGATTTAAATTAAAGGCTAGATCCAATGTTACATGAAATTATGGACACTATTATGTAGAGAATTATGTACATGTAGTACTTCCCTTAAAATATAAATCCACCTTTAGTGGGGATTGAGTCCTCGCCCTGTCCCATACCATTCCGCCCAGATACCATCCTTACTGTTATGATAAGCATTTATGGAAGTTTGAAACTCAGTTATTAATAGAGTAGGATTTTGTCATCTTTCTAGTTTCAAACAAGCAAACCAAAGATCAAAATTTCTAGTGCTTGTTTGGTTAAGCTCAAAATTTTCACTATAATGTGAATTTCTTTATATGAAATATATTCACTCATAAGATTTATTTAACTGAGCAACTTTTGTAACAGAAATGTGATTTGCCCATAATTTTAAAAGCTTTAATTGAGCTATCAAACTTGTCTATCAAATCTTGGTCAGCATAAGCTAAGCTAACGAATGGTACAACATGGTGACGATAATAAAAATAATTAAAGAGAGACTTTGGGGTGCAAAATTCCATTCTTTTCTGTGCCAACTTTAGCAAGTTGGCTTCGAGAATCAAATTGCTTTTGGCTACTAAAGACTTAAGAATCTAATATCTTTCTTACTAAAGCTTCTTGTACACCATGCAGCCCTCTCACATTGTAAAGGGGTCCATATGAATATTATATTTATGGACCCCTCATTGTGAGAGGGTTGTATAACATTTATTGCTGTACACGCAGCACAACTATATCTTTCTACTTGGGATCATGATCATATATGCAAACGCTATCCAATTTACAATATATATATATATATAGAGAGAGAGAGAGAGAGAGAGAACTTTCAATTTTTCGATAGGAAAATCTAAAATCTCCACAAATTATTTGAGTTCCATTAAATGTAGTGAGAAATATTATTTTAGAAAAAAAACATTATGCATATACGCAACCTTCTAATTTGTTTTTAGGAGGTGGTTCGGTGTGACATTTGTTCAAAGGATTAAAAAAAAAAAAAAAAAAAAAAAGAGAGACTACAGTGTAAAAGTTGATGGCCTACACCCAGCGTCCTAATCATACTTTTCATCATAATACGTCAGTATAATATTTTTTTCGATTGGTGGCCACTTTTGTATTCGCTATCTTGAAGGAGATTGTGTAAATTTATTATTGGACCTGAAGTTTCAAAAGTTCATATATATCTTATAACTCACAATTTTAATGTATCCAAAATCGTCTCCGACATACTCCCTTGAATAGATATTCAATTTCATATTACTCAAATCATATTTTCAATTAATTGTTGAACCAAATTCTTATTTCACACCCGACCATGCATGTTTACGAGAATTGACTTTCCTGCAAAAAATAAAAAATAAAAAATTCGAGGCCTCAAATTTCCAAGTTAAGACCTAAACCTTGTTCACATGAACACAGTGTTGATAGTGATAATCTACGTGTATTTGTGTTAGAAGGAAGTAATGCTTTTATGCATTGCGCCTCGACAGAGAAAAAGCTGAATCAGAAAGGCGATTGGCGCAGCTAAAGTATTTACCAAGTCGAAAAGTTAACAATAACTTTGTCCCAAGAAGAAAGTATCCATTTTATCCTCTCAAGATGGATTTGTTATTGTACTAATCCACTTGTACAAATATTATATTTCATATTCAAGTTGAATTAGATTAACAAAAAACTGTCTTTTTTAAGCATTTGATTAAAAAAATAAAAATAAAAAATTTGAATACATTAAAGACAAAGTCCTGTAATTTTATTTATTTAATTTTTTTTTTGCACCATGCTTCTGTAATGCTTTCGATACATAGTCCAGTGGTGCAAAAAATAGGAGTGAGGTTATTTCACGCCTTGTTGGCAACCGTAGCATGGGGATTCGATTCCTAAAACATGGAATTGGACTCCTTGTAGATGCAGTGTACATGCAACTCTTGTTCTCTAACCTGTTGGGGGAACATTCCGTAATTTACCTCCCTCACAAAACTCCAAGAATGGGGTGGTGGGGGCCATCAAGATTGGAGTTCAACTTTTATATATGATATATTATTGTGTTTTTATCCTTTTACTTTTCTGAGTCACATGACTCCGCACCCTTTGTAGCAATATTATGGAACACGGCAATATAGGTATGCAAGCTACGAGTTGTGTAGCAGAAATTTTTCAGAATTTTATATTTTTAGAATTTTTTATAAATAATATTTAATTAAAATTCTTATTTCCCATATTTTGAGGGCTAAAAACATTCAAAGCATCGAGAATATATTTTAGTTTTTATGTTATAAATTTAATCTTATTTTCGAAAATGCATTTTCAAAAATATTAGACCTAACAAATTTTGAGTATTTTGCAAAACTGAAAACATCATAAAAAGACAAACCAAATGCACTCTAATCATTTGGACAAAAGAATCACATTTTAATCTTTGTCACCTCACGTTAAGGAAAACATTTAATAGAATCCAAGTTATGGGATTCTTGGATATAAATTGTGTTAAACGATAGTTTCTAATTGGAATGAGTTTTTTCTCAAAATGTCAATCACATGCAATACTCCCTTGTGCTCATCCTAATTTTGGATTTATAGTCCATGTTTAGTGGAAATTAAATTTAAATTTTATAATTATATATTTTATGGGGTGCACAATTTTTCAATCACATATTTATGAACTTGATTTTTTATTTATGTTATTTTTAGTGTGCTTATATCACCCACCTATTGCATATGTAACACGTCTCTTGTTAACCTCGCCATTTGTTTGATTTTTCTAATATATAGAGAGAATCTTAGGCTTTAAAATGGGAGGCTAAGAAATAGTTGTAATTCATTCACATTGCACGACCTTTGATAATATATGGGGATATAAGTTTCCAAAACTATTGCTTATATCTCCAGTCCTATTAATTATTATGTATGTAGTATGATGGTCACCAACATTTCACATGAAACATTCCAGTGTCAATATTTTAATTTAGTTGCACTGTGGTCCTTAATATATCAAAGCCGTCCATTTTACCATTGTAATCTCATCTGCAAAGCATGTGGAGCGCTGAGTAAATACCGATAATTGAAAGTATGCACCAATTGTCTTCCACCTTAGTCCCTTTGTCTTCTACATAGTTGACTTCATAGATCTATTGAAAGTATGATCCTATTTGTCACAAGAGTCATCCCGAAAAATTCTTTGAACTAACACCAATTGTTATACATTGTAAGTAGTATGCTTACTCTTAAAATGACTCGTGAATAAACGCGAACAAAATATTAGTGCTATTTATGTCAATTTTGCTGGGACCATCAATAATAAATATTTAATTTAAATGATGAACTATCAGTGCTAGTTATGTCAATTTTGCTTTCTGTAACAATTGCCAGCCCAAACCTTTTTCCAAAATGGATTCGGACCATATCGGTTTATTTTTTTTCTGCTACCGCGCTTATTGTAAGATTCAAAGTAGGTTAGGAGTTTGCTTCGGAAACTCCAGACCGCCCTATTCATTTTCCCTCCCCATTTCAATTCAATTTGTGATTCAGAAACTCTCTTTCTCACTCACACTCGCACACCGAGAGAGAGAGAGAGAGAGAGAGAGAATGGTAATAATATAGATTCAGGTCCGTCGAACAATTTCAGAAGAGAAGTGTATTAAGGTTCGAAGTGGAAAATGGAAGGTTTTGTGTTTCGTGGTTCGGAGAATGCTGTGTCAGCCGGAGGTACTTCTTGATTCTAGTAATTCGTGATTATTTTTTTCTGGTCAATTTGATTTTTTTACTAATATCAAAACCCTGAGCTTTTTCAATATGTATGTGAACCCTATTTTTGTTGTACTTGTATGCTTTTCTGCGAAATTCACTTGTTCGTTGTCTCGATTCTTGACCATATTCGTAACTGTATGGTTTACAACGTCATTTTGGCTTAAATAGTTTTTTTCGCTCTGAAGTGCCTATAAGGGTTTGGGGCTTTGCTTTTAGCTCTTCGCGAAATTTCAGCGAGATTGGATAATTGAACTTATAATGAATTTTTAAATATTTCGGGAAATTATTCAATTTGACCAAAGAATCCTAATAATCTGTGCTATAGATATAATTGTGAATTTGTGGTGGTGAGTAGGGCTTTAACACTTTAAATAAAAGAATATGGTCATTTTCTAATTAATAATTATCTCCGAGTTCTATTTTCTGGGTTTGTCTGCTACAGAAATTATATGGTCTTGGGGGTAGTAGTTGTTGATTGGTTTTACATTTCTGGATGGGAACTCTAGATAAACTTAAAGGTGAAAAAACAACGATGCCATGTCCTGGAAGTGTGGCAAGGCGAAAGCTTGCAGACATTAGCAACATGCCACAAAAGTATAGGCCCTCATTTCAAGATGATAAACCACAATCTACTTCAAGAACTACTAAAGAGTATATTGACCAGCTCCAAAAGGTAATCCATTCGTGAGTCTTGTAATCTGAATGGTCATTGTATTTGTTTATGTGTCTATGATTTTCTAAATTGCAACTTTGCTTCAGGAACACTTGGCTCTAGTAACGATGCTGGCACAGAGAAAGTATCCTCTTTGGATTAACTTTTTCTTTCAATCTTTGCTTTTACTTGTCACTATTTTTCATTGCTGGAACGTCTTTTGGTTTTGATTAGCCCTGTACACTGGTTGTCATTGTATTCCTTAAATATTTTCTTGACAGCAAAATCATTGAACAGAGTGGGATTGAGTTAGACAGACTGCGAGTAAACCTGCTTAAAATGCAGGAACAGAATCAACAACTTGCCCTGTCCAACACCCAAATGCTTGCGGTCTGTTTTTTCTTTCCTATAATTTCCACAATTGATAGATTGGATCTGTTGTTGCATGCAATCATTTTCTCGATAGGTTGTGTATTTTAAGGCTGATATTCACTGCTTCATTGAATCTGTAGGAAATAAATTCAGGTAAAGATCGGGTATGTTCTCGACTACACAAGCTGTTCTTTTTCTTTTTGAATATCTATTTTTCGAGTCCACATGTCATTTATTTGGAACCAGTATGTTTGTTTGACGCTGTAAACATTTCAGTTGAGAGCATTACAACATGAGCTTGGATGCAAAAATGGTTTGCTAAAAGCAAGGCAGTTGGAGCTTGAGGTAGGTATTGCAATTTTATGGCGTTCGTAGCAGCAAAATAATCAGTATTTTTTTTTTTTTGGATTTATTGATTTTTTTTTTTTTGTTTAAGCAGGAAAAAGCAAGAACGAAACCTTGCCAAGATGTTGATACTGAGGTGTAAGAGTTTATTTGTGAACGATTTAGTATCTTCTGTTCAACATGCACTGATACAAATACGTGTGTCTGACGCGATACTTGTCAGATACGTTGACACACGATCTTTCAAAAAATTACTGACACGAAACTTCGCTGACACATTGAGTAAAATTTTTGAAGTTTTTCATTTATGTAGTATAATTTAGCTTTATACTTACTTTTAATTTTTCTTGTTGAAATTTTTTAAATATAAATATCTAATATCTATTTATTATTTACTAATAACTTTGAGTTTAAAATATATAATATTTTTAATAAAAATGAAAAATATTTATGATAGAGTGTTCGAGGAGTGTCAATATCGACGTGTGTCCAAAACACATTGGATACGGACACGCTACCCTAGTTGAAGTGTTTGTGCTATAGAGACTTTAAATGTTTAATCCATGTTATGTCTGCTTAAAATTTCTGAAGGTGAATTTGATCAAATATGAAGAACTAGGTGAGATTTTGAAAGAAGATAGAGGAGATAAAGAACCTCGAAATTCAAGGAAGAGGGCACAATCATACTGTAAGTACATTTTCTAAACTGCTTCATTTAAGTTTAAGAAGGAAGATTGGCATGCTAACCCCTTAGGCTATTCTAGGTTCGTCCGAACAAGTTCAATCTAAGGATAAGGCTGAAAAGAAAAGGTTTTCTCTGGTCACTCTTACATAGTCCAGATATAATCCTAAAACATAGTTTCTCATTATATTGCAGAAAAAGCCTTGCTTGATTTTATCCCTTCTCCCCTGCTTTTTTGGGGTTGTTTTGACAGGTCCTCTGTGAGGAGGCAATCTGCCAGGTTTAAAGCTGAAGAAAAAGAGCCGGCTGAGGATTTGTTCGAGATACGTGATGCCAGATTTCCAGTATGTTCGTTGTCCGATGATCCAGTCCTGGAAAATAGTTCAATTTCAGTAAGTGGAGCAGTAAACAATGAAGTTGAGGAATGCATTTCTGCGCCAATATATGAACCTCAACAGTTTGGAAGATCTTCTCTTTGCAGGCCATCACGCCAAGCAGCCAAAAAGGTCCAATCTTACAAGGAAATCCCACTAAATGTTAAAATGCGCAGAACTTAGTAGTAATACTTTTGTAATTACAATTGAGACATAATGGTAGTGGGGGCCAATCGCATTATCATCCTTTTAACCAGACATGGCTTTTTTAATATCAACTGTACTGACCAGTGCAATCAGAAGGTGCTTTTCTCAATTTTGTATGTCATGCAAAAATGTTCTGAATGAAATGTACAATCTTAGCTTAACTACTTCATTTTACATTATATGCTTCAACCTTCCTTTCTGACCTTAATTTAATTTCTTTGTGCAATGATACCTTCTGAGGTCAGTATGTTGTCTCAACAGTTCACAACGTTCTGTAGCTTCAATCTATGCCCATTCTATGTAAGCCAGCTGTACCTGCATGACTCTTCCTTCGTTAACTTCACAGTTGTTGTAATATTGCTATTCTATTCCAATGCTTCTACAGCTGTTTTAGTCTCTTGAATTTTAATCCATAATTGCTCCATATCATCATTCTATTAAATTTTTGTCCCGGACCTTGTATTTAAATTATAAAACCTTTCCAATGCTCAGATTAAACCTAGATTTTTATTTATTTGACTCCAAATTAGGCTGATTTTATATTTAGATCTGAGTACGACCTTGGCCTCGGCCTATGCCCCACGGTAAATACTATGCTAGTCAATTGTTAAATTTGGGAGTGATTCGATTTGTGCCACGCATTGATCTAATGCACGTACATTACAGAGTTCCTATTTGTGCATTGATGTCATTATGACTGGAATTCTCATGCCTAGTGGCCAGTAGAGGTGTAAATTGGGTCTTGTTGGGCTGGCACTGTTTGGTTTCGTAGGTAGCCCGGCTACTTGGGCATGGGCCTAAAGTGCTCTGTCCATGCTGCCTTCCATATTTTGACACCCTGTTTGCTGCTTAGAAGTTTATTAGTGGCTCAAGACTAACATCCTGTGGTGATGTGCATTTTTGTAGTTTATGTTACATGTATATTACTTTTCAGTTTTGACATATCAGAATTATGAAGCTGGTTTATTGATCCAACCACGTTTGTGTCTTCATCTCTCTTCAGTTTAAGTATAACCCTTCAAATGTGACTATTTCATAATAAGTGTACGGTGAAAACTCACCACGCTCTATATTATCAGTGGTAACTTTTGGAGTTGTTATGAAATCACTTTCACTTTTCCTCGCTATTTGTCTTTTAAAGAGATTGTGAGCATATTCTATATAGTAGGATCTGGTGGTGCCAATCTTTAGTTGGGAGAATTTTGATACGGAAATTATTTTATTTCTTATTTATCATAATAATATTTTCCTATGTTCATTCATTTATCCGAAACAAGAGCTTAGTTTAAGCAGTGCAATAGTTGACTTGGAAAGCGATAATTGATCATATGGATTCTGTTGCACATTCTGTATCCTATATTATATTATAGCTTGCTTAGTTGCAGCAAACATGACAGCTTGAGTTGCTGATAAGTTACTGTATCCTATCCTATCCTTTATTATATTACAAGGGGTGGCTGTTAAGCTATTGAATATATCTAAATTAAAGATTGTCTTTGTGGAGAAGTGGGAAAGAACAAGGCCATGTTTGATGGTTGATTAAGTGAAGTGATTCCTTGCTTGCTTGCTTGCCCTAAAACAGGCATTTCCCCCTTACGTGCGACACACAATCACACTTCAATAATTCTACAACTTAAACACCCAATTTGACTTCCCTCTGAACATCCACTAAAATTGCTTGCATGTTCTCAAAATTTGAAGTGCATGAATGACGAGATGTTCTTGATTGATGATTACATTATTATTATTTTTTTTTTTGGTTTCGATTTTATATGGTTTTTAATGGTGAATAAAGATTCATGTAGTTGACTTCAAATTTATTGTACTAATTTCTAGTGATGGTATGGATTAAATAAATCTCATTTGAGTTGTTTTGAGTCAAATCGAGATAGAAAATTTCACCTCAGGAAAGCTTTGATAAATCAAGTCTTGAGTTTATGAAAATTCTATTTTCATTTGTTGTTATTTTATTTATATTATTAATGATTATATGTTTGATTCCTTTTATTTTGTATCTTACTCAATTCCTCTATATTATTATTCAGGTAGGGATCACTGCCAAATCTTCTACTCAATCACGCATAAACTATTTTAAAATATATAAATAAAATTTCTATAAAGGGAATTATAAAGTTAACTCTCACAAGTGTGAGGAGGAAGGTAAAATGATCACAACCTCCGGATTTACAAATGGAGTCTTTAGTTAAAATCAGTAGCAGTTGAAGTAAAATACTGTCAATTTTTAATATGTCAGTAATCCATAGCATTCTTTTATCATTTGAATTGTTAAACCATAAATTGATTAAGAAAATACGTAAATTATGTTAGAGTATTATTGAATCAGGGTTAATGGATAGAAAAGTATCTTATACACTAATCATTGATAAATGAGTGGGTCAACGGCACATGAACTGTCAATATATATTTGATGTATGATTAATGAGAATTTATTAATTACAGATGGATGATTAATAGTTTAATGCATGTTTAGGATATCTAACAAATTATATAGCTTACCCAAACTAGATGATTTTGTTAAGTCGAATCACTAAGAATCGAAATAGGATCGGTCATTTGAGCCGAAAAATTAAATTTACAGAACAATAAAAATTCGAACACAAAGATATGTTTCGCCCTAAAAAAGCCTGAATGTTCAGTCTTTCAACCTAATCATCCGTTGAGCATCACCAAAAGGTGATATAACTCAAGATCCACTAAGTATCAATCAAGAATAGTATAAATGTACGAAGAAATCAAAGGTTTCTTCGAGTTTCCTTTTGCCTCTTTTACATAGAACAACAAAAATACCTCTCAATCACTAATAGACTATACAATAACATCACACTCCATCACTAAGAAATCAGATTAAGAACAATACCAAGAATATTTTGGATTTATAGTAAAATCTGAAACCCTAATCTTTCACTCAGAGATAAAAGGAGAAAACAAGCTAAAGGGCACAAAGTCTCATGACCAGAATGAGGGTTGAAACCAAGTTAAGTATCTAAACAGTCAAACGTCACAAACCAAGGGTCAAGAGTGGACGATTGATCTGCACCCATTAAAGAGGCATTCACGTTTCTTCTAAACAGACACGCTTTTAGAACCTGGAATTAATAATGGATCAAGGCCTGCTTAAATCCGTTTGGACCAGAAAGAAATAGTGAGGCAGCCCACAAATAATAACAATCTCTACCTTGCCGATCTATTTCTTGATCTTTACTAGTGGATCTAGAAGTCTATATCACTTCTTGGATCATTTGCTCTAATTACCTGCAGAAAAGAAAAAATATTAGTTCAAATCTCTTCAACACAAATCACTTGAAGTTCTGATTATTACTTCCTTAAAGTAATGTTCAGAATTCTCAAGCAGTTTAAAAATTTATTTAAAGGTAATACCTTAGTTCCTAAGTCTGCAGGATTAAATTTTGTAGGAATTTTCATCAGATTAATCATACATTTTTCTGCTATATTTCTCACAAAATGAAACTTTATATCTACATGTTTGGTTTTGTTATGATAGACATGATTTTTACTCAAATGAATGACACTCTGGTTATCGGTATAAATCCTAATAGAATTATTTTCAAAACCTATTTCATTTAATAAACCTCTAAGCCAGACACTTTCTTTTACAACATTACATACAACAATGTATTCAGTTTCAGTAGAGGATAATGCAACTATTCTTTTAAACATCAGACTTAATTCTAAAGTACCTTTTAAATACCTTAGCATCTATTTCATGGCTAAACAATGTGTTTCACCAGGGTTGGACATAAACCTACTCAAAGTACTAATGACATGAGCTAAGTCAGGTATTGTACACAACATAAGGTACATTATAGATCCTACATTATTTGCATAAAGTATCTTTTCCATTCTTATGAATTCATCATCAGTCTTAGGTGAGTTTTCACTAGACAATTTAAAATGATTTGCAATGAACAAAGACATAGGTTTACACTCAAGTATGGAAAACTTTTGGATTATTTACACTCAAGAAATCAGATTGAGAAAAACACCAAGAATATTTTGGATTTACAGTAAAATCAGAAATCCTAATCTTTCACTCAGAGAGAAAAGGAGAAAACAGGCGAAAGGGCACAAAGTCTCGTGACCAGAATGAGGGTCAAAACCAAGTTAAGTATTTGAACAGCCAAACGTTACAAATCAAGGGCCAATATATAGCCACGTGGACGACTGATCTGCACCCATTAAAGAGGCATTCACGTTTCTTCTAAACAAACACGCTTTTAGAACCCGGAATTAATAATGAATCAAGGCCTGCTTAAATCCGTTTGGGCCAGAAAGAAAAAGTGAGGCAGCCCACAAATATTAACAGTTTTATTACAATGTAATCAATTTTGTAAGCATTAATTTAATAGTTAGTTTGAGTCTTTATTTACAATTTACAGCATAAAAGTGTTCTGATTGGAATCTTTTTTTTTTCTTTTTTTATTTATTCTTTCTGTACACTTCGACATAGGATAGCTACCCACCTATTATACAAGAGATATCATTCTTATCCTATAGCTCCAAGGCTTATATGTCATACGGAACGACTAGGTAGTATTCTATACTATATTGTCCCTCTCGTGTGATTTATGCTCCAGTTGGTTGTACAACTAGGACAATGCTGTGTGTACATATTCTATACTATATTGTCCCTCCCATGTGATTTATGCTCCAATTGGTTGTACAACTAGGACAATACTATGTGTACACAATGATGTATACACAACATTACATCCCCCTCACATGAAAGGGGGCCCACATACAATAAAATATTAGTAGACCCTCCATATGAGGGGGTGTAATCTGTTATGTACACCATGAAATGTACAAATAGAATTACTCACAAGCTTGGTTTATGCCACTCAAAGATAAGTGCCATCACGAAGCAAGAGAGTATAATCAGATGGCTATTTGTGCCCATCGAAGTCACTTACTTAGTCAACATCAGTGTAGCCATCAAGATACTAATCCTTTCTCCATTTTCGTAAATGGGGAGTTGAATGACTTCTCATGGGAACAGAAAGTCTCATCGAATAAGCACCATTCGATGAAAAAGGGCATGAGACGTGCGGGAGGAAGCTTACAATGCCTGTGATTACAAGCAATGCACTCCAATTAATAAACATAAATATGGTCATGAACCTTTGTTTATTGTCAAACTTATGCTCCCACCTTTTTTATCGCATTTTTATTTTCGAGTTTTTGAGTTTTTCTCCTTCACTCGTTCTTTAATTACTTCCCGATTAATGGAACAAGTGCCTTCGGAATAAATATGGAAAATAAAGAGATGTAGAGATAATTTTTAATTATGAAATTTATTTAAATAAAAAAAGCTTATTAGTGAAAAGTTAATCTCAATAGTAGAAATAAAGGCTGAGGCTATCGCATTTCCCTACTATATAAAAAAAGGGAATGTGAGGGCACTGTAGAAAGCAACAGTATTTTAATCCATCTTTAATGTAGATTTTTGTTTTGTTTTGTTTTTTTTCAATTTGGGGGCTAAAAACGACGCCGTTTGCTTGATATATATTTTATTTTATTGTACACTACCTCCAAATTTACTACAATATGCAATTTTCATTCCTCCCCACTCCGATATATATATATATAATAGGGATATAAGAAAAATATCACTTTTATATTAAAAAAAAAAGATAGAGATAATATGCTACAGAAATTTTTTTTACAACATATTACTTGTAAGTAAAAAATTTGAAGAGAAAAGAATTAAAGAGAATTATAAATTGAAAAAAAAAAAATTATAACTAAAACTACGTAGCAAAAAAAAAAAAAAGTAATCTTTTTTTTTAACTTATGTTTTTGTATTCATTTTCAAGTTCATTATGAGATATCAAACGAAATCGAAATATTACATTTTTAATATCGTTTTGAAGTACTTGCGGCATAGTATTGCACGTCGTTAACGGTGCGTGAAATGGTCAATCATAGCAAATGTTATGGGATGTCAAAGTAGGCATTTTCAAACTATATTTCGAAATTTTCGATAACAAGCTAACTTTAAAAAATTATCGACGATTGTACAATAGTCGAATCGATAAATGTTTTACATTCTTTCAAAACTCATTTTGAGAACTATATCGTAGAGATATCGAATGATTTAGATAGATATCAAAAATAGTTAAATGGACATTAAACGTATGTGCTAAAAAATACGCATAAGTCGTTTTTCTTAAAAAATTCAATTATTTTATTACTATTTTGAAATGATAACAAACTAACTTTAAAAATTCGTCGACGATTGTACGATAGTCGAATCGATAAATGTTTTACATTCTCTCGAAACTCATTTTGAGAATTATATCGTAGAAATATCAGATGATCTAAATAAATATCGAAAATAGTTAAACGGAGATTAAATGTATGTGTTAAAAATGCGTATACGTCATTTTTTTTTAAAAAATCAATTATTTTATTACTATTTATTCTTTTTTAGCAACAATTTTCTCAATGCATCATTTTGCTCAAAAAACATTATGTGGTATGTGTTAAAAATGCGTATACGTCATTTTTCTTAAAAAAATCAATTATTTTATTACTATTTATTCTTTTTTCACAACAATTTTCTCAATGCATCATTTTACTCAAAAAAATTATGTGGTATGACGAAAAAATTTTCTCCATGCACGAAGTGAATATATTTTTTTCATCATTTTATGTATTGAATTATTGCTAGAAAATTAAATTTTATCTCAAACTATTAAAAAATATTGATTATTAATGAAAAAAATCACTTATATATATGTAAGTAAAAAATTTGAAAAGAAAAGAATTAAAAAGAATTTTAAATTGAAAAAAAATTATAACGTAAAACTACAAAAAAAAAGTAATCTCTCCGTGCACGGAGACACTGTCTCCATGCACGAAAGAAAAAAAAAATTTAGGAATACTCCGTGCACGGAGAGCATGAATTTTTATTTTTTTTTACTTATATTTTTGTGTTCATTTTCAGGCTCATTACGGGATATCAAACGAAATCGAAATATTACATTCTTAATATCGTTTTGAAGTACTCGTGACATAGTATTGCATGTCGTTAATGATGCGTGAAACGGTCAATCATAGCAAATGTTATGGGACGTCCAAGTAGGCATTTTCAAACTATATTTAGAAATTTTCGATAACAAGCTAACTTTAAAAATTTATCGCCAATTGTACGATAGTCGAATTGATAAATATTTTACATTCTCTCGAAACTCATTTTGAGAACTATATCGTACAGATATCGAATGATCTAAATAGATATCAAAAATAGTTAAACGGACATTAAACGTATGTGTTAAAAAATACGCATAAGTCGTTTTTTCTTTAAAAAATCAATTATTTTATTACTATTTCGAAATTTTTGATAACAAGTTAACTTTAAAAATTCATCAACGATTGTACGATAGTCGAATTGATAAATGTTTTATATTCTCTCGAAACTCATTTTGAGAACTATATCGTAGAGATATCAAATGATCTAAATAAATATCGAAAATAGTTAAACTGTGATTAAACGTATGTGTTAACAAATACGTTTTTTTCTTAAAAAAAAACCAATTATTTTTTTCTTTTTAATTCTTTTCTCTTCCAAATGAAACTTAATTTTTCAAAAATTACTTCTAGTAAAAAAAAAAAAAATTAAAAATAAACATATTAACAAAAAATATTTCTAATATATGTAAAAATTACTTATATAAGTAAAAAAAATTCGTTTAAAATTATTTAGAAGTAAAAAATAAAATAAAGTTATGAAAATTAAATGAAGAATATATAAATATTATTTAATTAAAATTGAAAAATTTACTTTATAAATAATTGGTTTTTTTATAAATTTATTTAAATTTCTTTTTTATTCTTTTCTCTTTCGAATAAAATTTATTTAAATTTTTTTTCAAATTTTTTTGTCATACCAACCATGAAGTGACTGTTGTATTGTCCGAAGAATATATCTGCTATTAGGATTCTAATTCTTACACCAACAAGGGAGTTGGTCATCTAGTAAGTGCCACTTCAAGTTATTTTACGTGCGAACCTGAGTTTGTTATTTAAATGTTTTTCTATGTGGATATTTTCTTTCAATTTATAACTGCATGGGTTATTTTTGAGCTACAAGTATAGCCTCTCGAATCGACGTTGCTAAAGAAAAGCACTTTGCGAAATTCAATTTACAACTTATTTGCAATATCAGATAAAAAAAAATCTTCATCTACATTAAACAAAAAAATACAACAAATAATTAAAAATAAATTATCGTCGACATATATACAATCACAACATTCATTATACATATTTATAAGAATAAAAATAAATTATCATGACATAAAATATACAGTTGACCAAAAAATGAGAATCAAACAAATATGTCTTATTTTCAAATATTTTTTGTACAATCTATAAATTCTACGCTAATAAAACCAAAATAAATACAAAATTCGTGCAACGCACGAGACGAAGACTAGTAAACAAAAAAACAGGGGATTCAAATTTGAAAACGTCATGAAAAAATAAGCAATGCGTCCTTTTTTTCTTTAAGAAACAACGACAATATTTTTAGGTGTTTTTAGCATCACCACATGCAATGTAATAATAATACTTCAATTTAGTTACTTATGGCTTGTTTCTAAGTGGATCGATCACGATAAAAATGTGAAAATAATATAATTAAATTGCCAAATATATAGTAGAAAACACGTCATTCGTGTATTAAGATTTGAAGTTTCATCTTAAAAATGTTAAAGAGAGTAACCCAAATATTTTTTTATGTTGGTTAATATATGCTTTGTACTTATTAAATGGCAGATTTGCCGTTTAGCATGTCTGCAAAATGGCGACTCATTTGAACAAGTCAATATTGAAATTAATGTATCTATTTGAGTCTTAATCAGATCGAATTGATTATTAGACTCTATTAAGTTAACATTGTTAAAAGAAGTAATTTAAGAGGGTATTTGGTAAGTATTAAAATTAGATTTTTTAGTAAACTGTGATAGAAAATTTTGAAATATGTGGTTGAAAAATTATGGGACTCATAAAAGATGTGATTAATATTGATTTTTTTTTTACTTTGGCTTAGATTAAAATCAGATCATAATCCAAACCAAACAGACTGTAAAACTGAAATATTTATACTTACATTGTGTATTTGAGCTTGGATTGATCAATAGATTTTCCGGAGTTATTTGGGAGGTTTATTTATGTTGTAAATATATTTAACCTTTCGCCTGAATTAAACAAATGTTATTAAAGTGAGTTGGCTAAGTAGGGGGAACAGAGTGAGAAACGGTCTTTAAATAAACAACCTGACCTGTCTTTACAATTCTTTAACCCCACCTACGCTACCCTCCTTCAATTCTGCACACGCATTTCAGTTACAACTTATGAGTTACAATACAATGTTGCTACATTTTGTGTGTGTTTCATGAGGCTAAAAAATTGGCTTATTTTTACAAAAAATTATAAGAATAATTATTTATATACTGGAAGAAGCCTATTGACTTCCAAACCTCTATCATTCACTAGCTATATCTACAATAATCACCCCACACTCCTCATAAGCTTCCTTCAATCTCCACCTCTCTCTCTCAACAAATTTCGTGTTTCACGGTGGTTGCGGCGGTAGCGCGACATGGAGGGTCAGAACGAATTCGATATGGCGCCTAGAGAACTCTCCCACCTTGTAAAGGGCAAGAGAACAAAAAGACAGAGGCCTCAATCTCCAATTTCAATCCCCATCACTACACATGATCCATCAAGCAAAGATCATGGTAACCACCATAATTCGAGCTCTTCGGCCGAGAGCACCACCACGGAAGAGGAGGACACCGCCAAATGCCTAATTCTCTTGGCTCAAGGTCATCATTTTTCATCTAACAAAGATGATGATGATCAAGATTTCAAATTCAATAGCAAAAAGTACATAGAAGCAGGCACATGTGTCTTTCAATGCAAGACGTGTAACCGAACGTTTTCTTCATTTCAAGCACTTGGAGGCCATAGGGCAAGCCACAATAAGCCCAGAAACACAACCTTCGTTTTGTCTGATGAAGATCAAAATCTTGATAATGTATCTTTCAGACAAAAAAATAGTCTGTCTTCTTCTCTATCTCTTCAATTGACCCATCCCACAAATAAGTCTTCCTCTTCAAGGAAGGTTCACGAGTGCTCCTATTGCGGGGCGGAGTTCATGTCTGGACAGGCCTTGGGAGGCCACATGAGACGACACCGAGGAGGGCCAGTTGCAACAAATACAACGTTGTCATTGAGTTCACCTACTCCAGCTTTATTCGACAATCAAGATTCTGATAAATTATCAAAGAAGCCAAGAAATGGTTTGTCTTTGGATCTCAACCTTCCAGCCCCAGAAGATGATCCTAGTCGTACATTTGCATTTAACTCAAAGAAGCAGCAACAACAACAAAAAGAAGGAGGCCTTGCTTTGTACACTCTTCCAACATTCGTTGACTGTCATTATTGAAAAAGGTTTGAAATTTTTTTTATACATTCATTGATATATACAAATGAAAGTTAGCATTTTTATTCAAAAGAAAAATGAAAAGAAAGAAAGAAAGAAAGTTAGCACTTTGCTCGTTGCGGGAGTTACCCAGACGCCATACGACTCGAGCTGAAATATCACCATTGTTTTAGCTTTCATTTTGAGAAATTCATTGATTCTTTTGATCAAGTATTTTTTTCACAATTTAATGGAAACTTGCAATTCTCTGAATTTTGTTCTGCAATTTGTCTTTTAAATATATTCATATTCATTATTTTTATTATTATTATTTTTGGAGTGGGATGGGGGAGAGGTTGGAATAGAGTTGTCACCAACATTCACCACCAAAAGTCTTGTGGTTTCATTATCTGAGTTACAAGAAACACACTCTCTCTCTCTCTCTCTCTCTCTCACAAGCGCGCGCACACACACAAACGAATTTAAAATAGAATGCCAGGAAGTAACTGCAGTTGGCATATGAATTAACATCCCCTCCGCGTTCATCCAATAATTTTTTGCTGAATTCAATATTTGTAAATTTATAGTATTTGGCTGAATTTTGTTCTTTCCTTGACATGGTCCACTCCCTCTTCTTAACTTTATTTTATTCCACTATTTGATCTGGTTTTCTCCCCTCTTGCAAGTCTCCTCTAGCATGTGCAAACGTTATTCTTATCAATTATATGATTATATGAATTTCATTAGTAACGAGGATTTCTAACTCGGGTTTAAGTAAGATTTGTTTTCCAATGCTAGGTTCCATAGAAAGGAAAATAGGAAAAAAAAAATCTTTAACATTATTTTAAAGTCTGATTGCTTGTTAACATTGTGTAATTTGTGAAATTATCAAAGATTTTGAAATGACCTTGTGCCTGCAGCTGTTAGGCGATGACATCCATTATATTCTAAGGGAAATCAAGATTTTTGCACCCAACACTGATCCTTACATTATGGTATTTTGTCATTAGTTATGACTTATGAGCTGTGTTTGTGCTGCCATTGTCCTTATGTGCATGTGTTTAGCAGTGGTTGAACAATAAAAAGACACTGAGATACCATTGGATGCAAATAGTTGATTGCACCTAACGTTCGAGTCACGTTAATTGCTTGGTCGACAATATCTTAGTCTCAAGAACATAATTTAAGTTGATGAAAAAAGAATAAGAATATGTTATAGTTTGATAAGCTACGAATCTTCTCGAAACCAAAGGGCGTTATCGGAAACATGATCAAGTTTGGTAAATCTTGGAATTATCTACTCAAAACAATAATCACTGTGAATTATATATGAGAAATTAAATCAAGATTGTAATCATTTCTATGATAACATTGAGACTTGTTAGAGAAAGATAAGGAATTTTACAAAAATGGAATCATCCCTGTTTGAATTAGAGGGCAAAATTATCTCTTCATTAAATACAACGGGTTAATCATTAATAGCGATGAAATCGTCAATAAATAAAGGGTTGAGAGTAAAAATGTCTAGAAACGGTTAGGCACAAAGATACTACAAGAGTTAAAGATTAGGATGAACCATGCAATTTGCGCTCCTTAATTTTGAAGCAAAAGTTTTTAGAGATTGAAGGAAGCAAAAGTTTTTAGAGATTGAAGAACATAGGGAATCAACGTAAAGTAAATCTTTCCACTTAGTTTAGGTGGTACAAACTTAAAAGTTGAGTAGTTAAATGTTGAAAAATTTAGATTGAGCACTCATATGTCCAAATATATATAATTGATCTTCAATGCAATTTTGTAAATAACAATAAGGTTTGATGGTCGTTTAATGTTTTAATAATAACCATTAACTTAATTCACAATCACTGAAAATTAGTAAGGTAAAATGTAACAAGAAATCCTTACTTTTAAAACTACAATTCTTATAAACCTCCAAAGAATCTACTGAAATGAAAAGATTTCTATTGGATACTACACAAAAACATGAGTACAGTCAGCTTAGAAAAGTGTAAGAATCCATATGATCATGCCAATACGGAAAAACAGAAGAATATTGTCAATGTGTAAATGAAAAAGAAATTTGGAGAAACGCTGTTCAATAAGAAATTTAGACAAAACTGAGCAATACTATAAAAGAAGATTAATAACTTTCTTGATCACATTGTTTATTCGCCTATTAATGCATAAGTGAAATTTTTGGTATGATAGATTAGATGGCTTTTAAAGGTTTCTTGATTGTTCAAACTTATTTATTACCAGCTGCCTATCTGAGACTTCTTAACGGTAGCCGATGGTGGAGCTGGTGGAGTTGGACCTGAAAACGGCTTTGGGGTGGGTGGAGGAGGAGGTAGTGCCGTCACCTCCCTGTATGACATTACAGGAACCCATTAATATAAGAGTAAAAAAATAATATCTGATTGGTCCAAAAGGACAAAATTAGATAAAATATGGATAGATGTGTGTTGAGCGAACCCACCTACAAATTAAACAAAAGAATCAATTAATGAAGGATTTGCAAATAATGAAGTAGAGAAAATCAAGAACCAAAAACATAAAATTGAAGAACGATTTTCCCCTTCTAGATTAGGTTAAGAAACTTGATCCACACTATCAAGGTATCTCCAATTTGAAGCTATTATTAATCACAAAGACAGATTCACAAAGAAGGCAGAGGAGGATTTGTTTTTGCACTAAACAAGAAGAGTTTTTCCCCTGTTTTTGGGGTGAGTCAAATGAAGAGGAAAGACTCCAATTTATAAGCTCATAGGGAAGAATGGATTTCCCAAAAATCTTGCAAGATTAGGTTGAATCAAAATTGCAAGATTAAGTTAACTAAAAGATAGAGCTCAACCAAGACGAGATAAATTGGTTGAAAAAGATATCAATTATAATTATCTATCTTTCTTGTGATTTTCAAATTACCTCCAAGTTGGGTATTGAGCACCTAGCTCAATGGACTGATTACCTCTAAATACCCAACATAATTGGGCTACTTCAATTGTGATGTGGATCTGGGCTTATAGCCTATGAAGTTAAACATGCCTCGATTTTTCATCATAGCCTAGGAGATTTGGGCATCACTTACCAAAAAAAAAAAGCCCAACAATGTGAAAGAAACAGACCACAAAACAAGAGATTTTGTGGGGGTGGTCTCTCTTTAGCTGGGTTGGGATCAGGATCATAAACTCTAAGGTAGAGTTCTTGTCCTAAATACCAATGTTTTAGGTTTTGTGACCTTAAATTCCACAATCCAGGGTTGTCTAGGTAGACATAAACTGCACTCCATCCTCCTGGATACGCCTGTTAATTGATGCTAAGAATCATAAACGGAATTTAATCGAGACATGAAAGTACTAAAAAAGGAATTCAGCTATGAATAGATATTTATAGAAGAAACATTTTAGAGTAATTCACCTGAACAAAAAAGCGCACAACTGGATCATAAACGTTGTATGTAGAATGCAATGCCGGTGTCCACTGTCCTATTCCATACCTACAAAAAAAATTAAAAATAAATAAAAGTAAACCTTAACGACGTGTTTATCATGTATTGAACTAAAATAAAGAAGTGATCCGCTTTTGGACCGGATCTTTATTTATCTGGTCGGACCAAATTGATTTTCATATATAAGGGTTAAAAGTGGCCTTAAGTTATGTAGTGTGTTGCTAATACTTTACCCAGCAACAAAGAATCCAAATCCGTCCTAATGCCAAGAGTCCATTGAATCCAAATCATTCTTGAATATAATCTCCAACCAGTTCTTGTGGGTCCCCGTTACGACAAATGTTCCACGAACGAGCGCTTTAAGGCTAGAGTAAATAGGAAAGATATCGAGTTGGTAAACATTGGACCCATAGTAATCAGCCAATTTTAATGGAGTAGTTGGAGTATTATATGACACATTGTTGATAGTGAAATGGGAATATCCATCTATTTTAGCAAATGATCCACGAAGAATAGATGTCTCTGATGGCGTCATGTTCCATACATTGAACGTCCCTTGTGGGTTCAGCCTTGCTGCTCCTATCGTCAAGTTCCACCTAGTCAAGTATATCAAATATTGTCAATTGCTCAGTCTATCACGTTGAAGATACACAATGTGCCACAAATATAATTATCTCAACGAATGGAAGATCTAAATCGAGTAAAAAACACGAATGGACACTGAACTTTTAACTCAATTCTATATTAATTTATAAAATGCATTTTGTTACAAGCTGATCATTAAATTAATCTTTGTCACAATCGTATTATTTCATCCATATTAATTAGTTTGACTTGTAGAAAAAGTTAAATATTGAACATAGTCAGAGGTGAAATGATCGAATTGAACCAAAATTTAACTGTAATGATTAATTTGAAGTGAAATAAAGTTTAGCAGAAAAATTTGGTGGCCACCCGTTTATTTTACCTGATGTTAATCATGATTCATTGCCTGATTGATTTAGCTTGATTAATAGAGAAAGAAAGACCAAATGGATCAGGCCCAATTGGTAGCGGCCCATTAGCAGGCTTGTTTGAGTTTTCATAATATAAGATCCCAACAGCAGAAATAGATGTACGATTGATCATATTAACATATGGGGAATTTACACAAATGTCACTAAAATTGAAAATGCAAAAAAAAAATTGGACATTCACCAATTTCTTCCAAGAATGTCAATTTTTCCCTACAAAATGTCCACTTTACCCTTTAACACCTTTTTGGAGCAATAAATGCTTGATTTGAATGCAATTAATGTTATGATGTGATTAATTTATTTTTGCTTTAAATTTAATATTGAAGATATGATATTATATTGTATAATAAGATTTTTTTTTTGACTACTTTAAATGTTCAATACAACATGATCATATTTAAATGACCATTTTCAATCTTTTATTCATTGATGTGTTTAATTTTTGGTATATTTTAGAAAGAAAAATTATACCAATATTATATAGAAAATGTGAAGTATTCTATATATAATTCAACATTTAATGAAGCATTAAGTGATATCTTGTTCATTTCTAAAAAGATACGGTGATATTGTAGTTCAGAATTTATTATGGCCTTTACCGTTTTCAATAAATTCGTCAAACAGTGAAGCACATGGAATTTATCTTTCTCGAAAGTTATGGCAGTAGAACTGTCGAGCAGTATCTTGAAAACTGTCGGGTTAGATATTTTAACTGTCGAGCTCGACATTTACTGACTGTCGGGATTGAAAATGTAATTGTCGATTTCGACACCTGAAAACTGATCATCTTTTATATC